TGCTATTCAATCTATAACAGTGAAAAAAGTGTTTGTTTTTTTTTTAAATCCAAGCTATTGTGACACCAGATCTAAGTGGTGGCACTGGTCACCGTATCCACTGTTAGCGTAACACACCCGCTTTAAGGACACTGACTGCTATTCAATCTATAACAGAGAAAAAGTTTTTTGTTTTTAAATCCAAGCTATTGTGACACCAGATGTAATTGGTGGCACTGACTGGGGAAATGGGCACAGTATGCACTGTGAGCCTGACACAGAAGCTGGCAGCAGTGGCAGACAACTGACTGCTATTCAATCTATAACAGTGAAAAAAAGAGTTTAGTTTTTTTAAATCCAAGCTATTGTGACACCAGATCTAATTAGTGGCACTGGTCAGCGTATCCACTGTTAGCGTAACACACCCGCTTTAAGGACACTGACTGCTATTCAATCCATAGCAGTGAAAAAAGTGTTTTGTTTTTTTAAACCCAAGCTTTGTGTCACCAGATCTAATTAGTGGCACTGGTCAGCGTATCCACTGTTAGCGTAACACACCCGCTTTAAGGACACTGACTGCTATTCAATCTATAACAGTGAAAAAAGTGGGTTTTTTTTAAATCCAAGCTATTGTGACACCAGATCTAATTGGTGGCACTGGTCACCGTATCCACTGTTAGCGTAACACACCGCTTTAAGGACACTGACTGCTATTCAATCTATAACAGTGAAAAAAGTGTTTTGTATTTTTAAATCCAAGCTTTGTGTCACCAGATCTAATTGGTGGCACTGGTCACCGTATCCACTGTTAGCGTAACACACCCGCTTTAAGGACACTGACTGCTATTCAATCTATAACAGTGAAAAAAGTTTTTTGTTTTTAAATCCAAGCTTTGTGTCACCAGATGTAAGTGGTGGCACTGACTGAGGAAATGGGCACAGTATGCACTGTGAGCCTGACACAGAAGCTGGCAGCAGTGGCAGACAACTGACTGCTATTCAATCTATAACAGTGAAAAAAGTTTTTTGTTTTTAAATCCAAGCTATTGTGACACCAGATGTAATTGGTGGCACTGACTGGGGAAATGGGCACAGTATGCACTGTGAGCCTGAAACAGAAGCTGGCAGCAGTGGCAGACAACTGACTGCTATTCAATCTATAACAGTGAAAAAAGTTTTTTGTTTTTAAATCCAAGCTATTGTGACACCAGATGTAAGTGGGGGCACTGACTGGGGAAATGGGCACAGTATGCACTGTGAGCCTGACACAGAAGCTGGCAGCAGTGGCAAACAACTAAGTGCAATTACATTACATAGAAAAAATAAATTAAAAAAAAGCATACCCTTATCCCTAACCTAGCTATGCTTTTCCCTATCTTATGAACAGCAGCTACACTTTCCCTCCTCTTACTAAGCATGCAGCTTGAGAATGAATGTAAAATGGATGCCTTCCAGTAGGTGGGAGGGTCTGCTAGGGAGGCTGTGCTGCTAATTGGCTGGAATGTGTCTGCTGACTGTGAGGTACAGGGTCAAAGTTTACTCAATGATGACGAATAGGGGGCGGGTCGAACCGCGCATATGTTCGCCCGCCGTGGCGAACGCGAACATGCTATGTTCGCCGGGAACCGTTCGGTACATCACTAAAGGTAGTATGTTATATGCACTGGCTCGCCCCTCTGACTCATCTTAGTTTTAGGAAGGGACCGGACATAGTGGTCTGTGTGTTTTAGAAGATAAGATGTCAACAGGCACTCTTGTTTATGATGTTGGCCGCTGATAGTGAGTTATTGTTTTGGCCTGAGAAAGCCATTAAAGGCTAGATAGGTAGCAGTTTTGATAACTGCATTGGTGCGTGGCTCGGAAGTTCATGGTCGAGTGGTTCTGTCATGGTTTTAACATTGTATGTCTATGGCCAGTATTTTGTTTTAGCGGGAACGTCAGCTTGGCTATGTCTCTAAGTAAGGTATGTATGGGGTAGGATGATAGGAAGCCTTGTTGTTTGGGATGGAGAAATACGTATAGTGTTGAATGCCCGTGAGATAAAGTTTAACCGTGTTGTGCGAGAATTATTAACTTAAGGTGGCAAAAAGAGGCGAACGCCATACGTGGTGAAACCTCAAACCAGCTATCTAAGTGATGGTCCGACATGAAAAGTATTGTATAAATGGAAAACCCTGTAGCAAGCGTGTTGAGT